CCGCACACAGCGACACTAGAAACGCGGCAGCACCGCCACTCTGCAGATGTCGCCGTACCTACGACATTATTGGGCTCTTCCAAACGCATGTAGGTCGACAAACCGTATAGGTCGTCTTTAAATTTGCTACAAGAGATTTCGTTCAGCGACCTCAGCAATATATATATATATATACATAGGCTATTACGCACGCATTCGACATGAGCGCGTGCGCGGCGGTGATGTAAATATACGATATCTTGACGATATGTATTTCTTTTTTGTTTTCGTACGATTATAGCGGGTATCGTCGAATCCCGAACGTGCTAAAACTCGCATATAGAGCGCGTTCGAAAACAACGCACCGACTCAACCAACTTGTGGATTTAACATGGTTGACTATATTTCGCGCTGGTATTAATAGCATCGACTGCGATTATGAGTTTCTATAGCATCTGTTCGAGCGGCCACCGTGACGAGCGAACGTTTTATATATAGCACAACATGTTGGCGTCAGTACGTCTAGTCTGTTCAACAACGGTCTTCGGTGTGTGTTTTTGTGCGTGCGTGCGTGCGTACGTACATACGTGCGCGCGTGAGCACGCGCACGTGCATTCGTGTGAATGCGTATGAGTGTGCGAGCGTGTGCGTGCGTGTGCGTGCGTGCGTGAGTGAGTTTGCGTGTGGGTACATGTGTGCCAAACTGCATGAAGCGCCCCCTTCGCTAACCTGTATGATACAGGCGGTTCCGGTTCCACTTCCCTACACTAACCTTAGTTAGTTAGTTAGTTAGTAGCTAACACCCACGACGCTACGAACGCGACGCTAGTTTACGAACGTTTGGAAAACGTTTCATTCATACCAAACCATAAAATAACCATTCAAAAACGTTGCGAAAACGTTATGTGTTAGCTGGGTTAGTGTAGTGAAGAGGAATATACCGCCTGTATCATACAGGTTACCCCCTCCGCACACTCAGGAGATTGAGCCAATGAGCGAGAGCGCCATCTGTCGTGCAGTTTGCATGCGTGCGTGCTTGCGTGCGTGTGCGTGTCACTGGTGTGTGTATGTCGAACCTGGGAGAGAGGCACTGGATAAAACGGCTGATATGTACACGGGGTTAAAATAAAACCGCGTGTATTAACTGTTAAATTCAGAAACATTTGTTACAATGTGCTTTTGTTGGATTATTATAACAGTGGGCACAAAAATGCGCATTAGTAAACAATGTCGCGCCATCAAAATGTAACGGTAGATGGTAGAGTTATACGGCGTAGCTACGTAACTCATGCACAGCTACTGTACTTACCTCCAGCCTGTTTTGCTAGCATCTATGACAAAAACGACATACGGATATACGCCCTCCGGCCTATCACACAATTTGTCATAGGAAGATTCTTCCTATGACAAATATTGTTGTATGTGTTGTGCGCATTACGCTTACAACGATAAGATAAACGTTCCCAATTTATTAGGCTAAGCACGAGATCGCGCATGTAAGGCTGCCGGGTAGGCCTACTTGTACGAAAATTAATTTTGATGGACCCTCGTGATCGGCTTATATAGCGCTCGCGCTCGTGCTCTGGTGGTGGTGACTGATGTACTGAGACAACCCGTAAAAGTGAATCAATTCCAGCGTAGCTGACATCGGGAAGGGGGTCTGTGACGTCATTGCACCCGAATATTTCTATGATGTGATTAGTAATACTAATATATCGTCATGCCGGCTTTTAAAGTGACTATAGGGTATATCTCTCCCCCTCTCTCTCTCTTTCTCTCTCTCTCTCTCTCTCTCTCTCTCTCTCTCTCTTCTCTCTATCGCTCATCTCTCTCTCTCGCTCTCTCTCTCTCTCTCTCTCTCTCTCTCTCTCTCTCTACTCTCTCTTCTCTCGTCTCTCTCGCTCTCTCTCTCTCTCTCTCTCTCTCTCTCTCTCTCTCTCTCTCTCTCGCTCTCTCTTCTCTCTCTCTCGCTCTCTCTCTTTCTGTTACACACACACACACACACACACACACACACACACCACACACACACACACACACACAAAACACAAGAAACAATACTAGACAGAGGGCACTTCACGGAGAGTGCATTACCTCCGCGAGCATGAACATGTATGTGCTCGCTGGTGGCGGCTGCTGACTGACTCGCCTGCTGCTGCCTCGCCGCCCTCACTGGTGGCTGCTGCTGACTCGCCACTCGCTGACTCGATGCGCTATCGATCGCGCCGCCCGCTCGCTGACTCTAGTTTCAGTTTTAGTTGCAGTTTCTAGTAGTTCTAGCTTGTAGTAGTAGAATCGCTGAAATATTGATTGTTGCGCGCAAGCGAGCGATCTGCTGCTGACTCGACGCCCTAAGGCGAGCTGGTGCTGAATCGGTCGCTGCTGGCTCGCTGCTGGCTACACACACACACGAACACATCACACGAGAGGCATCACATTACCTCCCTGCAACTTCGTTGCGCGGAGGTAATAATTAGTAAGTAATTGCTGTTATATGTACACCCGGGAACAAGTAATACAGGGGAAGTTTTTCATATTAGCCGCATAATAGCCTTACTATTCTACGTATGATCTTTTAGTCGTAACTCAAATAAGAGGAACTCAAACGCTATACCTGCAAACTCCAACAACTCTCCTCCTTAACAATATTGCCGATACATATCTACGCCATACGGACAAATTATGTCCGCGCCCATTATCATTAAACATGAAAGGGACGCCTGTCGTAACACATGGCAACAATTAAGTAAGAGATTCGAAAAGAAATTTTTGAAACTCGGCAGGGGCAAGTTTTGGCAGTTTAACTTTTTCCGGCATATCCTTGCAGCCATCAATAGCGATAAACAGTGTTTGTGCTAGGTGGCGCCGCCGCTCATATAAGGAAACGTTGATTATCAGCGAACAATTTAATTTAATTTAATTTAATTTAATTTACAACAGGTTTTTAATTCATAGCAGGTGACATATGCACCAATTACAAAACGATGTGTTTTACAACAACAATAACACACATGCACTCACGCACTCACACACGCACTCACACATGTATATGTGTGTATATATATTACCATTACAATTTACGCTGATAATGGCGCGTATCATTTTTACGGTGATAAATAGTTGTTAACCTACCGGTGCAACACCTGTCGATAATTTTCACGACTACAAAAGTATTAAACGTATAATGCTTATATCCATCAAGTTTTCTCTAATATAAACGTATCATTCAAAGACATGTACAATTTTCGCGCAAATAAAAATTTCGCAATCGCATCGCTTATTCATACCTTTGTGGTTCAGCTTGTCTTCCCTTTACAGCTGCGAGTCTGTTACGCATTAATTGTACGAAAATCCTGTTCTCTGTTTGCAGCCGTATTGATATTCTCTGCTGATACCATTAACGAATCTAGGAATTGGCTATCGAGCTGGGAGCGGCTAGAAAGGGTGGAGGGGTTGTGATGGGTTTTGAGGGGGATATACGCGCCCAAGAGGGGTCAAGCCATGTATTTTAGTACTTCAGCCGGAAATTTCAGGCTTATAGTAAGCAGTGTATTTACGAAACAATGAGTGAAATGGGGGTATGAAATGCTCATAAATGATTGCCTCGTCTTTTTCGCTCGCCTTTTGTTGTTAGGTTGTTAACGGGGAGGGTGCAATGCATAGCCTTGAACGTTGAACCGCCATTCCGTGAACCCGTCACTGTATAGCAATATTATTGTTCTCAACGGAAGTGGACATATATATGACTTTAGGGTTATGATCGCAAGTACAGTGTGATCATTTTAATTACACCATTACGAACGGTGTTAAACTCGTTATAAACGTTTACCAGCTCAGGGTCGCGGGCACCCCGTAGGCCTGAGCGTAAATTCATTGTGATGCTACTTATGTACGCGAGGCAGTTGTGCGTATATTTCAGGTTTGTAGGTGTAGCATATTTTCGACGTTGAAAAGTAGACTTCGCCTTTATGATTTTCAGCTACGGTAGGAATGCACGCAAATAAAGTCGGCTTTTCAAACGCAATAAGAATTAGAATTTTAAAAGACGATAAAAAATAAAATTACATCATAAAGATGTATTGATGAAATATAAATTAAAACCCCGGTATGCCTACGATAAAGTATTCATACGTTCTATATGCTATACGTACGCTATTATGCGCTTTTTCGATTTCGCTATTTGGCACTATTATAGTATACCACCTTGGGTGTTGACATAGGTTTTGCGGCTTTACGATTGTTGTTGTTGTTGTTGTTGTTGTTGTTGTTGTTGTTGTTGTTGTTGTTGTTGATATTATTATTGTCGTTGTCGACGTTGTTGTTATTGTTGTTGTTGTTGTTGTCATCTTAAGTAACTTTAGTCGCTCCTTTGGTACACGCCAACGGGATAGCCGTTCCCTAACTTACATGACACGTACTCGCTGCATTGCGACGATCCAACCATCGTTTCAGACGTCGGACAAAACTCCGTTTCGCAAGTAAGCAGATGGCCGCCATTTCTAGTTTTTCTTCGCGTTTTCTTCTAAACTTATACACAAGAAGCATTATCGTTCCCCAATTCTCCCTTTTGATATTTGGCCCAATAGTTGAGCTCATATAGCATGATGTAACCAATTAAGGCAGCATTTGCATACAAAGGCCAATTCACGCTGTCCGACTTAATTTCGTGCACTTGAACTTCCGGCGGGTGATCATTGATACCACGAGTACAGTACGTACACCTAAGTCTGTAAACAGGTTCTTCTGTGTTGCCGAACTGCATATAAGAATATTTGTACACTACGCACGTGCATATATGCGCACGCATGTTCACAGTGCAAATCTCTCAGATCGAAAATGTTTATTATTAGAGATTTGTTCGCTTATATCGCTTAATTAATATGTTATTTATTATTTATTTATTATTATCGCTTATATGTTATCGCTTAATAATATCGCTTAATCGCTAATATCGCATAATGTTCGCTAATATTCGCTTATATATACACATATATACACATAAAACTAAATACGCGTGTGGTAGATTAATGGGACCAAAAGGGCACCGGACATCATTTATCAGCGTCTGTGCAAATACGACCAAGCAGCTAGAGAGTAAATGCGTGATTCCGATCGTCACTATATCTATACTGCTCCGGTTCCAGGCACCGCCCAGGCAGCTCCGAAAGTCGTGTTATCTCCGTGCGCCCATTTTACTGGCCAAACTACCGCACCGCAACGTTGCACACACGCAAAGTCGACGCGTCGCGCTAGACCTTTACAAATCACAAACGGCCATATTTTTATAGTTACGGCTGACTGCAGAGATCGGACTAAGCAGTGTCCTGCGAAAATCGCATAGACGTGCATGAAGTCACAACTAGCTATACGTGGCAACATAGCTTGATACTACATAGCACATTTCGTAGCGCACTGATATACGGAGATCTTAGATATCCGCAGGTGAGTGGTGGTGTCGTAACCAAACTTGGAATTTGCACAATCTTAAGACCGTGCTGCCCAAAATGCGGATATCCCAGTTTGACTAATCAATCTATCTCAAGATTGGGCACGCTGAAAACAGTCGCTTAATTATTCAACTACACTTAATGGCGATTGTGGCGTATGCGAGCATAACTGGTGCAAACTAGAAAAGGATTTCTATAATAGTTATCAAATTATCTAATATAATCATTTATTCCATGTACCACATATTACCAGTTCTAATGTCATATTCATGCGAGAGTGTGCAGAGTACGAATCACACACGTGAGCAACGTGCATGTGTATATACTATATAGTGGGCGTGGCTCGCTAGACCATAAACTCGCGTAGATTGTTTTGTGATATGAGATATCTGACGAGTTACCGGTTTTATATTGCAGACTGTGGGATCATGTCGCATAGCTGGCTCTACAGCGGTGAGAAGGCGTTCGTACTGGACGTAACGGCCGTGTTAATACTACTCGTCATCTTCCTGCTGACAGTGCGTTGGCTCAGCTTCCCCAAGAACCTACCGCCAGGACCGTTAGGCTTACCCCTAGTCGGCTACCTGCCGTTTCTCACTAATCATCCTTACCTGAAGTTCACAGGTACGCTCTTTAGATAAGGATAAACTGTGAGTAGCGTAGCTAAAGGAAGCGAGAACGCGTTTCCATGCAGGGGCGGGTGACGGCAGAGGGGGCAAAGGCACATCCTTCGCTTTGCATGGGAAGGTTTGCCCCGTCTGGGGAAAATCGGTAATTACTCAGCAGGGAACGATCTATGAACAAAACTGTAGTCGCTCTTCATCAGTAGAGCTGCGCTTAGCCGCATGAACTTAATTGTGAAAACGATCAGCAGGATGAAGGACGAAGTTATCTGTACACATTATTACAAATCATACGTCAATTTAGTTATAGTTACAGCACCTGTAGGTACTCTGGTTAAAACGGTTAAAAATGCAAATTTGCATAAAGGATATTAACATCTCCTAGTTTTAGATATCATTAGGCGCGTCCTAGCTGTTCGCAACGTGAATTCAGCCCTTCAGCCCCCCTCCCCACATGACATGAGCAGCTGCACTGCCAAGCATGCACTGTAATGATTGCAAGTAATGGGATTTTGTTGCAAAAATATTTTTAATTTAGAGAGCATTGGTTGACATACCAGTCAAATTAATTACCACATGCTGTCTGGCTGTACTAAATCTTTCGATAAAATCGCGGGAGACCTTTGTCCGCGCGTATCTCTGAAATGAGATTTTTTAAATCTGCGAAATAAAATAAAAATGTTGAAATTATACGTTTAAAATGAAGAGCGATTACTCCTCGCAGTAGCGTTTCATAAACATGTCTATATCCTTTATAATGATAGAGTGCCCTGGCTGGCGTAACTCTAATAACACGTCTCTCGTACTCTGGAATAAATTTAATAAAAGCCAGCCAATATGAGGCAATATGTGTCTTACATGATATATATGCAACTATTTGTCTTGTCTTTACAACATGATTAAGGTTTTGCTGCAATTATACTTTTAACCTAGAGAGCACATGCCCACCAGTCATTTTAATAGTTATGTTAGTGGTAACATCTCAATGTAAAGGTATAGTTCATACTCACAATCGGTCATAAATCGGTCACTTCCAACCCGCCCCGAGTTCGAAGCACGTTGGACTTTGATATAATAACCATTGGTCTGAGAGAGGTCCGAGAGAAAACACGTTGTCAGTATGACAGAGACATGTCTGTGAACAAACGGTCTGCTGTTATATAGTTGTCTTGAGGGGGAGAGAGCGCGGGAATTTGGGAGATGGATAGGAAAATATAGAAGAGAGAGAGAACAGTTTGTTGATACGAATCATGGCCCATAGTCTGTTATTAAGTAAAGAAAAACAGTCAGTTGTTAACATGTTGCCTTGTCCGCTGCTGTAGAGCTAAGTAAAAAGTATGGATCGGTCTTCACCGTCTGGTTCGGCTCGCTTCCGGTGATTATTGTGAGCGGATATGACGCGGTGTACGAGGCCTTCGCTACGCGTGAACACGACTTCATGGAGAGACCTCATCTAACAATTCCACGCAAACTCTTCGGATACGATGGTAATAGACACGAAACAGAAGCGACGTTAGTAGCCGCTTATAAAGGTCGGCAATAGAAAAAAGTGTAGACATTTCACACCGTTGTGTGCAAAACTATGCGTCTGTGTTCGCGCGTGTATGCCCCGTGTATGCATGCAGGCGAACATGGAAGCGCATGCGCGTGTGCGTCCCTGTCTGTCTGTGTCTTTATGTTCGCGCGAGTGTGTGCTTTGCGTGCGTCGCACGTGTGTGTGTGTGCGCGTGCGTGCGTGCGTGCGCGTGTGTGTGTGCGTGCGTGCATGCGTGCGTGCGTGCGTGCGTGCGTGCGGGAGATACTGAGTTAGAAGTAGGAAAACCTCGCAATATCTTATCCTGATATATATTCAACGAAGGTAATCGGATCAATGACCGGCGGCCATCTTGGAAGGACCCGCGACAGCCTCCTTACTACGCACGCCATGATCGGGAATGCAGCGACACGCTACATTGCGCCATTGGCCGCCGCACAGCAACGACGCTGGCGGAACGTCCTGCATGGCGTAACAATATCCCGGCCCAAGTCGATGATGATCGCAAACACTGTGGTCTGTCACCCACGACCCAAGTACTGGCCACGCAGACACGTACATGCCCGAACGGCGCTTGGCTGGACAAAGACGGAAAGTTCATCAAACACGAAGCCTTCATCCCCTTTCTGATAGGTACGGCGTGCCGTTTGCGGCCGAACTGTTTCAAAATCGATACAACGGAAGTCAACTCCGCATACGAAAGTCATACGGCGAGTTGAATGAAACCATTAATTGTGCGTATTTTTATTTTGCGTGTAGGTCGCCGGCAGTGCCTCGGACAGCAGCTGGCCAACATGGAGCTCTTCCTGTTCATCTCGCTGCTTCTGCAGCGATTTACTTTTAAAGTGCCACCTGGCGAGGACAAAGTGGAGGCCAAGGCGCGATATGGAGTCACCCGGGCTCCCGAACCTTACAGACTGGTCGTGGAACGCAGAGAGCAAAGTCTGGGGGAGAACAATGAGTAGCAGCTTGAGGAACATGGCACACAAGAAGTTACACAAGCGGCACGTTTATCGCTTAAACATGCGGGTTAGGTGCGTAGATTGCTACCAAAATGGGAAACGGCATCGTTAAAACAAACGCGAATATTAAGTATAGGAAGAAATACTATATAGGTCTATTGTCACTGTGCTTTCTTGGTTGCAGCTCAGCTGTAATGTGTGCTTGTGTCATCGGTTCTGCTATTACACAATACAGAAATGTCCAAAAGTTTCAAGAATAGCACAACAAATTTATTGTGACGGTATATATCTCTTAAAATAACTTCCTTTAGGGCTAATACGTATTTTTGTGAACTGAATACAGTTTATAATATCATTTGGGCAAGGCTATATAGCACATTTTCAATGCGGTTCAAATGTACAAATATATATATATATATTCATATATATATATATATATATATATTATATATATATTATATATTATATATAATAT